TTCAGCAACCACACCCTAGTGATCCAAAGGAAGACGCTCCATCCATAATCGAAGCATCAGATATTATTTCCTTGGACGATGCTAAGAAACGGACAGGTATCTTTGAGCATTTGGTATATGACATCAAGAAGTTGGTGTGGGCATAGATCTGACAGTATATATCATCCTCTTATGTGGCTTACGAGCGAACACAATTTCTTCAGAAGCTATACAAGATCCCGCATAATACTTTTGGATTTGCTGAGAGTATACAAGAACCAATTATTTGTTTTCCAACCGATTGGACCCGCCCTTTCTCAGTTGATATTTGCTCTACTGTTTTTATATTTCACATCACTCGTGCTTACGGGGTGAGACACCACATATAAATGTATATACCGTGTGGCATCGAGAAGATGGCTATGAGTTAATGATATATATGTACCTCACCACACTGTTTGACTCTCCAGGAAGCAGGTTCACCGGTTCACCGCGCCATCCTTAGATCATTCCCTCTATTCCTGCATTCAAGTTCCCTGGTCACGTTTTCCCGGTAACACCGCATTTCTTAGAACACTCGATATTTCTGCCTCTAACCCCCAGTCACCTTCCCACTGCTCCATCCGGACGCCCTCTTTGAAATGCCCTGCTAGATGATTGGTCCTTAAGGCCCAGTTACTGAGTTCCAGACCACAGAATCCACAACGGCTTCGTATATCACCTCTCGTCAAGCGCCAAGCATCAAGATCCGGGATTGGGGCCTTCGTACAGCTATGGAACTTGCGTAGGTGCTGCCATAAATGGTCTTTTCGGGTGAACGACCGCTGGTCTATTGGCTTTTCTGCACAGACGCGGAAGTCATGTTCCTCCCAGTGGGCTTGGGACGGCCATGATAGAGGGCAGACTTTACACGCGATCGGGTTTGGTTCGGCCATTTCTAAGTCTGCGAGGTTCGGTGTGCAGACCCATGATTCTAAGGAAAGGTGGACACTTGTCTCGTGACGGGTCCAATCGTTCTTCTTTTTGAAGCATTTTGGACAGAATGTGCACTGGTATCGGTATTCCTCGGCAGCATGTGAGGATCGACGTTTGTGCCGTTTAGGTGGCTTGATGGGGAATGGTAAGGCGCCTTCGTGGGGGGATTGGTGACTCCATGCCGTGGATATGCTGTCGGATGACGCTTCAGATTGTCTGCTCCCGAATCCTGAGACTGAAGAGTCGAAGAGGGAAGATGATGCCGAGTCGAAGTTCAGCGATGGTGATCCGGTTGGGAGACGACTAGTTTCAGAGGGCAAACCACTCCAGCTTGACTCTGCCGTGGAAGAAGCAATGGCGTCCCTAATCGCTGATTCAGGCACTGGGTCGTCTTCTGGAGGAGATGCCTGCCATCGCTCCAAGGGTGTCATCGCGGTCCACTGACTAGTAGGCATTGGGGAGCCAGCTCGGTTGATCTGAGGGCGGCCGGAGAAATCCATCTTCTGCTTCTGACGTCGACGGGCATTGGCAAACCACGTCGAGATCCGTTTCTTGGAGAAGCCTGTCTCACGGGCAAGCTGCGATTTTTGTTCCTCGGATGGATAGGGACACTCCTGGTTCTGAAGGAACCATGCCCGCAAGACTCTGGCTCCCTTTCTGACAAACTGCTTGGAGTCTTTTGGCTCAGTCCTTCCTCTTGAGTGGTCTAGCATAGAAAGGTCGAGCTCGTTCTCTTGCTCCGGGATGGTCATCTGGTCCGCAAAAGCGACATCTTCCCTCAGCTCCCGGAGCCCATGAAGATGACCGATTGCCGGAGCGAGAGTCTCAAACCCGGAAGGTTGGCGCTTCTCTCCTACTGCCAGACTGCATTCGCGGAATAAAGCCACGCAGCTCGAGCACGATGTGATTGGGTTCGGATTCGCTGGAGTAGTCCGGATAATCAGGCACTGCAACCGGTGTTTACGGCAATAGCTACAGGGATGCGGTGGGCAATAAGCACCATCCAGGAATTGGGTTACATCAGTAAGTCCTCGACGCATAGGCACGGGGTTATATATATCTGGGGGTTGGCCAATAGATGTAGGAGTACCGGTCTTGTTTATTTGGGTGTCCAGCGGTGGAACGGTAGGGTCGCCTTGGATAGGAAAAAGTGATGGCATCTCGGCTTGTCCAGATGGATCAGAAGCTATCCAATGTGACCACTGTTCATAATTCGGGTCTGAAGAAGCACCAAGCAGCTCAGCGTTGAGTGCATCCCAGTCGAAGGCAGCATTTTCCTCTAGTGGCCAATTGAGGAAGTTCATATCTGGCACATCGATGCCGTCGGCTGACCCATCTTCTGGTTTAGAGACTTGTGAAAAGTCATGTGGCAAATCGAATCCAGATGCACCTTCCATGTTTATGTATATATGTCCACAGGGTCCCTGAAGGGAAGAAGTGGTTGAGTTCATCAAAAGAATCACGTCACGTTCTCTCTACAAGTTTGGATGCTGCTGACTCACACCAGAACCTGCTTAAAGCGGTTTAGCCTGACTGCTGACCGCAGCATGGAATTACTGAATGATCCATATCTACTAGCTACGCGTACTAGTACTACTGACTATATCAGAAGATCTTACAAGATGAATTGTACTCTCTATACGCTGGGTAGCTTATCGTTTGGTCACTTCAGAACTATGTACAATATAGAAGACTTTGCTAGCATGCAGAATATCTCAGCAATCACCGACAAAAGTCTTCAATCAGTCTCCTGAAGACATTCTCCTGGTGCTGCAGACTCTCGACCTCGACCCATTCCTCCTTGCTGTGTAGTCCCTCACCTCTAGGACCGTACACTATTGACGGAATTCCTGCCTCGCTGAGCAGCGCCGCATCGCACCAGAAAGGTGCACTGCTTACTTGAGGAGTACTCCCCAGCACAGCAGTTGCACAAGCGAGCGCTCTCTCAACAAAGGGATGGCCAGTCGCCAACTTCTGCGTCGGGCGGAGCATGGTAGCGCGAGGCTCCGAATACAGGAACTTTGGGTTCTCCCGGACAATACCCTCCAAAAGGTTCTTAAGGTCACTTAAGATCGACTCCTGCGTCTGACAGGGTATAGTACGGAATTCAACTGTGATGGTGCATTTCGCGGGATATGAGGAAGCTCTTCGCCGCCTTGAATTAACCCACAATGCAAGGATGCCGGCCCCAACACGTCATCGACAGGTAGCTGCTGTTGATATTGCTCAAGAGCACGAAGGAACCAACCGGCATAAAGAATAGCGTCTTGTCCTGCACCGGGGTTGGATCCGTGAGCAGCAACGCCGAGGATATCGATCTCAACCCACAGAAATCCCTTGTGGGCTGTGACTACCTGGCCCATGGTAGGCTCAGGAATGACTGCAGCATCGGCACGCCAACCTGCTGCCAACAGGTCGCGTGTGCCTTGAGAAGCATCCTCCTCATCCGAAACAGCAGCAACGATCACATCCCCGCGAAGATTGTGGCCGCTGGCTTTGGCGGCTGATACTGCTGCCAGTGCTGCTGCCAAACCTCCCTTCATATCGAGACTGCCTCTTCCGAACACTACTTGCCGGCCGTCTTTCTCACCCAATGTTCCCGACAGAGGATCTTTCTCGTAGCTTGAGAGGCTTACGGTGTCGATATGGCCGTTGAACATCAAGGACTTACCTCCCCCGGAACCGCGCAGGACTCCGACGATGGATGGTCTCCCGGAGACGGTCTCGATCCAGTGATGTTCGATGCCTCGGTGAGCAAACCACGCGGCCAAGTAGTTTGCGATCTGGTTCTCTCCAGCACCGTCTGTCAACGATAGTGAGGGATTCGAGGAATTGATCGTCGTGAGGATCTGCGTCAGCCCGACTGAGTCTTCCACGGACACTTCCTTCGGGATGGGATACGGCCGTGGACCTTCCGTACTGAGTAGAACAACCACGGTGTCTTTGTTCAGGAGAGTTTGCGCCTCCTTTGCCGCAGCAAGCCGCTTCAGCGTAGCCAACGATGCAGCACCGCAAGGTCCAGCCTTTATCGACTGGGTAGCGAGGTATTCAACTGCGGCGTGGCATTCATGACTAGAAATTGTAACACATGCATCAACAAGTCTTTGTAAATAAGACCACGCAGTGGTCGACACGGTACCACAGTTCATCCCATCCATAATCGTCGACGACGTTTGAACAGCGACCGGTTTCCCAGATCCCAGGCTAGAATGCAGACAAGGTGCTGAGTCCGGCTCCGCCGCCACAACCGATATGGGCGCATCTCTAGATTTGCAGTGTCTCGCTACTGCCTGCGCCAGACTGCCAACTCCAACAGGTGTAACAACGAGGTTGCACTGCAGGCCTTCCTTGGCGATCTGTTCATCGACCTCCATCATCATTGTCGAGTATCCCTCTACAATCCACGAGGGAATGTCTTCGTAGCCATCAAAGGCAGTATCTTGCACCAAAATGCCCCCGGCAATAGCCTGAGCGACATCTGCTGCCTCCCTCACTGCCTGATCATAGTCACCCTGGACAACAATCACACGGGCGCCCTCGCTCCCAATGAGCCGCTGTGTAGACTCATCCATACTCCGCGGAACAAAGATATCCGCCTTGCTGTCGAGCAGTCTCGCAATGAAGGCAACAGCTCGTCCATGATTACCCTCCGTAGCCGCAACCAGCGTAATCGAAGCGTCCTTCACTCTAGCCGACAACTCATCCAAGCCAATCGTGGGCGGGAGGCCCAGATGGGTGGTAACAGCCCGATAGCAGCCCCACGAGGCACCCAGGACTTTGAAAGCCGGGAGGCCAAACCGATCACTTTCATCCTTGACAAAAACGGCACGAACGCCTAATTCTTTTGCGAGCTCAGGTACGGGAGTCAACGGTGTCGGGGCGTAGTTGGGTAGTGATTGATGGAATTCTTTGAGACCTTGGATATCTTGAGGGTCGCAGCGTGCATTTGCCGCGGCGGGGTTGAAGTATATGGGCCGGCGAGCGGACATGTTGACAATAATTGAGATTCTATTTTTAAAATCAGGGATATAATATCAGACTGGGAATATTAATATTACTTGCACTGATTTTCGCACTTATGTAGGCTTCTCTTGAGCCCTCGCTGATATCCAATTACCGAGAATGAGTCCCTGCAGCCTTCCGATGACATTCAAGCGCCTTCCATGAACATCTCCACTTAGGTGATAACATCCACTTTTCATAACCTTCCTCTCCATCAGACAAAACAATTTTTTATTCAATTCCATAGATTGGTTGAATTTTGTATCTTATTGTGCTGATCAGTGTGGGGTATATATAAACAAGTGAAACTGTAAGAATGTTATTAGATTCATAGAGGTAGATGAGGTCTGGATAGTATAGTAAGAAAAGAAAATAGACTCTATCAGATTTCTGAAATCTAATTTAAAATTATACCAAACAAGAAATAAGCATCGCTCATATATTATTAAGCCCAGTTCTATTTTCCTAGCTATGCATTGGCATCTTTCTTCATCCGAGCTTGATCGTAGTTAACAACCGCTTCAAGTAAAGCCTGAGTCCCCAAAGCACTGTAAATCGCAAAGTTAGCACTACAACCACTGTCAAAGTGGTTTGGACGAACTCACCAATCTTCAGGGCGGCAATACTCCTCCGGATGATGGCTGACCCCGTCGCGGCACGGAACGAAGATCATAGTCGAGGGACAATGTCTACTAGTATTCACAGTATCATGTCCAGCACCGCTGGTAATGTCCATGTATTGTCCAGCGCCAACAAGCTCGTCAGCGGCAGTGCGAACTGCACCAATGCAGTCCTTGTCAAACTTGACAGCAGCAGAATCCGTATCTATCGTCCAGTCGAACGAAACACCCTTCCCGTCTTGCTTTGCGATGCTAGCGAAGGATTCAAGACATTCCTTCTGCACAGCGTGCACCACTTCATCCTCGAGATGTCGGATGTCCAAGGTGAACGTTACTTGCGAAGCAACAGTGTTCGTAGATGCATTAGAAGGTATCTTGAGTACGCCAGTGGATGCCAGCGCCCCATGTTGCTTTGCAATCTCATTCGATGCGGCAATCATCTTAGATGCGGCGAGTAGGGGGTCCTGACGAGCGCTGAAGGGCGTCGTGCCCGTGTGCGCATCTCGTCCGTACACGGTGAAGGTTAGCCATCTATATCCCTGGGCGCCTTGGACTACACCTAGCGACCGGCCGGTTTCCACGAGGATAGGACCTTGCTCGATGTGCAGCTCGAAGTGTGCGCCAAGGGGGAAGCCCTCAGGTGAACAGGGGATGTCTCCCAGGTATCCGTGTCGTTCTAATTCCGAACGGAGTGTCACGTTGGGATCATGGATATCTTGAAGGTTCCAGGCCTGCTCAATGGGGATTACGCCAGCCCATACGCCAGAGGAGCACATAGATTTGGGGAACCGAGCTCCTTCCTCGCTGTCATCTTGTCAGTACCCAGCTCAGAAGTGGACGCTATGGGGAAGGAAATATCCGACCCAAAAAAGAACAAGGGTGCATACTTAGTCCAATTAACCAAACCGACATCGTAATTCGTCTGATACCCATTCTCCTTCATAGTCCGCAGTACCTCCAATGCCGCCATTATACCAAGAATTCCATCATACCGACCGCCACGCGGTTGTGTGTCTAAATGACTGCCCATGGCGATCATAGGCGCCGACGAGTTCAGACGACCTTTCTGTCTTGCGAACATATTGCCCATCTGGTCCACATGGAGTGTGCAACCCAGCTTTCTGACCTCATCATCAAGCCAGCGGCGCACACTCGCGTCGGCATCGGTCAGGGTTAGACGAGCCATGCCGGTATCTGTGGAATTCCTGTAGTATATGTTAGATGAGGAGTTATGCAAACCATGCAGGACTCTAAATTACTTAGGTGTGACGTACTTGCCGTATCTATGAGCCGCGCCCCATTCACACGTTTCGTGCAACGTTTCCCATAGTCGGTTGTGGTTGATCTTAAGGCCTGATAATTGGCGACGGGAGGTTGTCGAGAATTGTTTCGCAGAATTTGCGAATAGGGCGCGGCCGGTGCGCTTAATGAAATGCATAGTGTTGGTGGCTTCAATCTATGCTAATATAATAAGACACAATGACATGACCTGCAAGGGTTGGAGGTAGTGAGGGCGAATCCTCGATATATAAATATCTACCCATACAACACAAAATACCTAGTAGTGCCGTACGCCTTCTGTCGACAACGCTCAGTGGAGACAAAAGATACTCCACTTGAATCCTACGTTACTAACCTCATTGACATAGAAAAGCTAGCCCCCCTAAAAAAAGTGAGAGGGAGAACGAAACCTATGTGAGCGCAAGGATTTGCATGATGGGTGCTGAGCGCCTTCCAACAACATCCGGTGGCGGATTCCACTGTTGCTGGCCAGCGACGAACGGTAACTCTGGTAATGCTAATCAACACTGCAAGCCAATTTTTTGTTTTCTTTTCTTTCTTCTTCCTTTATTTCTACTCCATATTTTGATCTAGGAACCCCGACTCTCATATCAAGTATTAATAATCCAATTCATAATTACATTAAACACTAAATATATACTTGCTACCTGCTATGGAGCTTATGTATAATGCGTGACCATCATAGACAACGAAGACAACAAAACCATTTTAGTCTCCAGAGACTATAACCAGTCATTAAAGGGCTTTTTTCATCTCTGCTTGAGTTTCATAACAACGGTCATCCACGCCCTCTACCTCCTGAACAAGTTTTTCCATCTCCTCGACCTGTTTCTTGATTTCTTTCTGAGTCATCCGCACTTCGCGATCAAAAAGCTCTCGGTTCGGCTTCCTATAGCTTCCTCCGATACGGTCCCAGATGGTCAGAAATTGGCCGTAGTTGTAATTGAAATAGTAGTGGTGAATAGTATGACAGGCGGAGCCATTGATAACAGGTGAGTCAAGGGCATACTCTCCATCATCTACCATGAATCAACAAAACTTATGTCACGAGTTGGGACTGGTATGGGAAACAAACTTACGGATCATAACAGTCCAGATCGTCACAAAGATAAACAGACCCAGGTAGGCGACCTTCTGGAGAGGGAATATGATAGGAAAGACATGGTATGACAGGCTCTGCGCCCACCCATCCAGCGGATGAAAGGCGTAGCTGGCAAATGGAGTCGAGATGATCCACTTGTGATGGGGCTTGTGTAGATGCTTGTAGACCTTGGGGTGATGCTCTCCACGATGAATCCAATAGATTCCGAAGTCGGTGAACGCAATGAAGATAGGATATTGGAGGTATGTATAAAGCGGAAAAGGCGCTTGGCTGGAGAAATCGTACAGCTTTGTGTATCCGCGGACTTCAGCTAGGAAGAATGGAACAGTGAGGGCTGCCATCACGGGCATTGCATTCACGGCTTGCGCAATCTCCATGGAAATCTGGTTACGTAGGAACTTCGGATGTTTCATGGCGCGCTTGTCGTAGACGAAGTGAAACGAAAGTGTTGCGCTGAGGAAGTAGAGAACGATGCCAAATGCCCTGTCCGAAGAACAATCCATATCATCAGTCCCGATCCCTTCTGACAAAATAGCAGCTAGAGGCCCAACCATGTAATAAGAAACAAACTCAAACTTTGCCGAAGGAGGTGGTCTCTTGGCAAGATACTTTGTGTAGCCCATTTGGAAGGCAATAGGACGAAATAACGATTGACACTTTCGTTCAATGTGGCCAGTTCTGTGCCATTGGAGGAAAAGTAGTGTGCTATTCTCGTTGCACCATGTCGTGGGAGAATCGCTGCATACAGTCGGTCGAAGACTAGGGTGTCCAGCACATCCAGAATAACATCCATGGTGTACCGCTTGATTCACGCTTATCGGAGGGTAGTCAACAGGCGAAAAGCGAATAGGACAAGGAAATCATTGTTATTTAGTTTCAAATCTTCACATATACATTTTTATTACCGCGTGAGCCGGAATACGGGAGTTCCGGGGTAAAGGATTAATTAGAGAAAGATTGCCAGAGATGGACATCCCTAAGTAGGACTAGTTACAAGGATGGTACAGACTTAGCATCAGGAACGGTACCTTGCAGACTGCTAGAAGACTGCCATGAACAGTGTAGGCTGTGTTGTACCTTACGATGCGGCGGCATACTAGCAAGTATCATGTCATGACCCACTAGAGGATCGCCTGACGCATTCCGGGAATCCTTGGTGGTGTGGTACACAGGATGGATACTCCGTAGCACTAGTACCTCTCGTATAACTAAGGAGGAAGAATATTCATAGGCAGGGAGAAACAGCATCAACATGTGACTTTTACTAAACCTTGACAAAGTTAGGTACATCTCCGGTTGATTATATACATGGCATGTTGATCGCAACTACTGTCCATGATAACGCAATATAACACCACCCTGTACTGTTTTCAGTTGAGCTCTCTTATCTTCTTTTGATCTTCAAATGACCCTTACGTATAACCATAGGGATGTGGAATTAGAATATACGAAGTTTTAAGGGCTTGGGATGTGCTCTGTCGACTTCTTATTCCTATCAGGAGCAATATATCACGTATGTGCCATGCAGTCGCAGATCACACAAGGATGATACAATAGCCATGACAGGCTAATCACTTTTCCTGATAACTTACTCTGGAGTCAATTTAAACGGGCCGGGAGATCGATGCATCGTCCAAAAAGGTCCAGCGGGTCAGTTGGATAAGCAGATGGCGTATGTATTGTACAGTACATACCTACTTGTATGGACTGTATCACTTTGTTACGTGAATGGACCTGTGACTGCATCCTCTCAGGACTGGGATTACTGCGCAGGATGCGGTTGGTGGGGCAAGGAGATGGTGTTTGTGATATGAATGCATTGGTTTAGACCAACCCATGCCGCCAGTTTCTAAATATCTAATCGAGTAGGAAGAGTCCATGCTGATAACAGTGGTACTGACGCTGCTTACTAGGTTGAACCGTGGCCCCTCTTGGGCAGCAGAAATCCGATCAATACGGTATTGGCAATACTTCTGTGGTTTGAAAGAAATCCCCTGCTGAAAGTGGAATGGCAAAATTACCGGGCACTGGGAACGCACGGCCACAAGACCGTCTCAATACCCACCAATCAAGTAATGCCTGTCAACAGTTTCCCATTCAACGAACATTATCGCTTCAGGAGTGATTTGAATTTTCCCTTATACCTGCTGATAATCTATATTGGACAGGACTGAGGGTCACTTTGCTACCGGACAACGAAAGACAAAGCGCCGTTGAATCCGCCACCTAGAGAGAAAAAACTTGAATAACAGACCTGTTATTTTGGTTCCGTATACGGTCCGCGACCATCATCTCCCATCATCACTGTTCGCCTTCCTACCCTAAAGTTTTTTTTCCTTTTTTTTTTACTCAATAAAAAAAAGCTTTATCCTTTAGTCAGTATTATTGCACGTAACAGACAATCTGTCACTTTAATCGATAGGGAGGGGAAAATCATCTTATCTCTCAACTTTTCAATACTTTTTTTATTGAAAAGAAAAAAAAAAGACCACCTCTGGGGAAGAAGGGGTTGGAGCCGCTTCGCACCAAAATCCACGGCGGGGTTTCCTGTGCGACTACTGTACACACTTTCCACACCTTCTTTGCAACTCCCTCTCGGCGCTTTTCCTTCTCGCACCCGCAATTGCTCCTCGTCCTCCCCCTCTTGTGTGCACAATGGAGTGGCAACCTCAGGATGAGCCATTGAGGCAGCTGGCTTGCTGTCTCAGGGACTCTTTAAATGCTTATGACCGCAGCGCCCAAAAACAGGCCGAACAGGTGTGTTTCCTACCTCTCAATTTTTATCGGAGCCCCCGTTCATATACCGCTTTTGGATCTCTATACCACCACTTGCCTTGCTGCAAAATCTCCGGCACTCACACTCAAATAAAATGATTCACTGGCTTCTTCTAACTATTTTTTCTCTCTTTACCTTGTTAGATGCTAGTACAAGCGACTTCCTCCCCCGATTATGTTAACTACATCACTTATTTGTTCAGCACACCGCAGTCCCCCCAGCCGGTGGGGTTTGACGACAACACCTATGATATGGTCCGCTTTGCTGCTGCGATGAACCTGAAGACAAAGATTCGCGTAGCATACAATACGATTCCTCAGCCTTGTCTGTCATATATCCGAACGGTCACCCTGAGTGGACTCCGAGACAGAAACTTCCAAATACGGAGCTCGGCCGGTAGCATCATCACAGAATTGGTTCAACAGGCGGGTTTATTGGCATGGCCCGAAGTGCTGAATGAGCTCTTGTCCCTCGTGAGTAATGCATCAGGGGATGCTCCAGTCGCTGCACAAGAGGCCGCTATGTCGGCCCTCGCGAAGGTGTGCGAGGACAACCGCAAGATCCTCGAACGAGACTACCAGGGGCAGTGCCCTCTTAACGTTATTATTCCCAAGCTGCTAGAGTTCACTTCTAGTCAGAGCGCCAAGGTCCGGTCCATGGCGCTGGGTACCATCCATATCTTCCTTCCTCACAGACCCCAGGCATTGGTCGGTTCGATGGACCTGTTCTTGTCGCAGTTGTTCCAACTGGCCAACGATAATAGCACGGATGTGCGACGAACAGTTTGCCAGACATTCGCACAGCTGGTGGACTTTGCTCCCGAGAAACTCATCCCGCACATGGAAGGCTTAGTGAATTACATCATTATGCAGCAGCACAATCAAGAAGATCCCGAGCTGGCTCTCGATGCTGCAGAGTTTTGGCTCGTTGCAGGCGAACAGGCGAAGTTGCAACAACCGTTGGCTCCTCATATGTCTAAGATCGTCCCCGTGCTGCTTCAGAGCATGGTCTACGATGAGGATGACGCCATCCGCTTGGCAAGTGAGGGGGACGATGCCGAGCAGGAAGACCGGGTGGAAGATCTCAAGCCGCAATTTGCCAAGTCGAAAGGCTCTCGGCTAGACTCTTCAAAGCCTGAGGAACAGGCTAACGGCAACAATGCTGCTGAGGAACAAGACGAAGACGAGTTGAGCGAAGGTGAGATAGAGGACTCGGAATTCGGAGATGATCCCGAGGACGAGTGGACTCTGCGGAAATGCTCGGCCGCCGCATTAGATGTCTTCTCGAACGTCTATCACCAACCAATCTTCGAGATCATCCTGCCTTACCTGAAGGAGACCCTGCGCCACGACCAATGGCCACAGCGGGAAGCTGCTGTCCTGACCTTGGGCGCTGTTGCAGATGGATGTATGGATGCGGTTACTCCCCATCTGCCGGAGCTTGTTCCCTATCTTATCTCGCTTCTGAATGACTCGCAGCCTGTGGTGCGCCAGATCACTTGTTGGTGCTTGGGGCGATACTCTGAATGGGCCTCGCACCTCAACGACCCGACGGAGAGGGCGAGCTTTTTCGAACCTATGATGGAAGGTATTCTCCGTAGGATGCTAGACGGCAACAAGAAGGTCCAAGAGGCAGCTGCGTCCGCTTTTGCAAGCCTGGAAGAGAAGTCAGATGCCAACTTGATCCCCTACTGTGAACCAATCCTTCGGCAGTTCGTCCAGTGCTTCGGGAAATACAAAGACCGCAATATGTATATCCTGTATGACTGTGTCCAAACCCTGGCTGAGTGTGTCATGGGAGAATTGTCGAAGCCACACCTTGTTGACATCCTCATGCCTGCTCTTATCGACCGCTATAACAAGGTGTCGGATCAGTCTCGGGAGCTCTTTCCATTATTGGAATGCCTCGGCTACATCGCTGCTGCGTACGGCGATGCGTTTGCTCCCTTTGCCCCTCCTCTCTTCCAACGATGCATCAAGATCATCTACGAGAACCTACAGGAATATATGGCTTCCATCAATAACCAGGCTATCGAGGAGCCCGACAAGGATTTCTTGGTTACCAGTTTGGATCTTCTGAGTGCGATCATCCAGGCGATTGATCCCCAGAAGAGTGGCGAGCTAGTAGCCAATTCCCAGCCACGCTTCTTTGACCTCCTCTGCTTTTGTATGGAGGACCCGAACTATGAAGTGCGTCAGTCGTCCTACGCATTGCTTGGCGATTGTGCCATCAACATCTTCGCGCAACTGGAGGCTTTCATCCCCAACATCATGCCGACCCTTATCAAGCAGCTTGATCTGGACTTGATCAAAGACGATGACCGTCACACGGGCTTCAGCGTGCTCAACAACGCTTGCTGGTCCTGTGGAGAAATTGCAGTCAACGAAAAGGCGGCTCTGTCACCTTACGCCGACAAGCTGTACCAGGGCTTATATGTCATCATCAACAACGAGGAGATCATTGACTCCGTAAATGAGAACGCTGCAATGGCCTTGGGAAGATTGGGTATGTGTTGTTCCGATCAGCTTGCCCCTCGCCTTGGTGAGTACGCAGGCGCGTTCTTGAAATCTATGAATAAGATCGAATTCACGCGGGAGAAGGCCTCCGCCTTCCTGGGATTCAACCAAGTGGTCATGAAGAACCCACAGGCCATGGAAGCCAGCCTTGCGGATTACTTCCAGGCGATCGCCGCCTTCCCTACCAAGTCTCTCCACCAGGACGATTACCGTGATATCCAGAGCTCATTCCAGCAGGTAAGATATACATTTTGACTTGCCCCTTACTTCTTTCGATAATCACTAACAACGCACAGGTTCTGCAAGGCTATAAAAACTTGATACCCAACTTCGATTCGTTCCTCACCCAGCTTCCGGCTCACGTTGCTCAGAAACTTCGTTCTGTATACCAAATCTAGATTATGTCGGCATTGCTAGTGTTCAACGAGGGCAAAATTCTTGGCGAAAGGCGCACTAAAACTGCATTGCATTTTTATCTCTTCACCTTTTCCCCCATTCCTTTTTCATTTTAATCTACCTCTTGATTTCTCCTTATTCACTCTCACCGATGCGTCAAATCCATTGGATGGAGTGAGCAATGACCTTTGTTTTTCTTTGATTTTTGATTTTCTGTTGATTTCCCACCCATGGCGTGTTATTTTCTTTCGTTGTGGCGATTTCATGTCTGGGCCTGCATAGAGTGAGATCTAATGGGCCTGTACAAACAATCATGAGCCTGGGATAGCATATCCAAGGACTATATAAGAGACGGTGAAGGAATGACAATGATGACATGCATAATGGACTGACTCGGCGGATGAGTTCTGTGTACCATTTGGTTGATAGATTAGTACTATAGTAAATGAGCGCAGCAGATAGAAATCCATCAATGAGCGTAACGCTCGTTTAGTGAACACTTTTTTTTTCTTTTTCTTCCATTTCCCTTGTTGTACTCTTAGTCTGAGATTCTAATGTTGACTACCTAGATACTCGTATATGGATCATAGTTGAGGAAGAGAAGGTACCTACCTTGTACTTGGATAAACGTGCTTCTTTAGGTTAGTTTATCGAGATGGTCGCTTCGCTTTAAGGTTTGACCGAAGCGGAGAGGGTTCGGTGACGGGAAACCCTACCGAAGCGCACTGAAAATTATTCAGCACATCTCGACAACCGCCCGCGCCTCGCCTTCAACACACGCTCCTCGACTCGATCAATCGCAACCACAGCGAGAGAATCAATCATTCGCAATGGATTCCGCCAAGGCCCCCGTTAAGCTCGTGAAGGTGACCCGCGTCCTCGGCCGTACCGGTATGACCTGTCCCCGCGTTTTGGAGGCACCGAGATGATAGGAAGGTGTTGGGATTGAAGGGAGATGATATCTAACGAAGAGTAGGCTCTCGCGGTGGTGTGACCCAGGTCCGTGTCGAGTTCATGGATGACCAGAGCCGTTCTATCATCCGTAACGTCAAGGGCCCCGGTATGTTTCGCTCTATTCAAAGGTCGAAAATAGCGCCCGGCTGACTTGATAACCTTTACAGTCCGTGTCGACGACATCCTCTGCTTGCTCGAATCCGAACGTGAGGCCAGACGTCTTCGCTAAAAATATGCAAAAGCGACAAGGGGTCGGATTGGTTCTTCGGGAGGAGTACACTGGGGAATTATTGCGTTGGCTTATGGCGGCAACCATTCGGACATTGATTTTCATGTGTTAAGAGCCCAGCAATGGAATTCGCATCACGAATGGATCCAGACTTAATACATCTCCAAGGATATGGAACTACGAATACGGACATGATCGTTTGCCGCGTGCTGGATTGATGGGTCCCCTGGGAGCGAATGTTTTCTCTCGGGTTTACACATGGTTTCCGAGGAGTATGTGTGGACATCCTTCTGGAGGGACCTCCGGCACGTCGGTTTTATGGGATTGAAATGACAAAAAAAGAATTAGCGTTTTATCGAGATGCAACAATGGACATCTCGTGAACCGATCTTTCACATGTCTTTTTCCATATTCTGCCTGATGGCGGGGGTTGCTGTAGCCCAAGCCGACTTCTCTCTCTCGCCCTGCGCCTTCAGTTTGACGATTCGATCACCGATCTACCACGTTTGACTCGATGCGGATGCTACATCAATCCGATCAGCCGCGCACCGTGACTCTTTGACAGTGGTGCAATATGAGATTCGTCATTCAGTTTTCGCTTGTAGTTCTGACATGCGGGAGAGAGTCGAGCTTGTCCCACATTTGCACGTTCGCGAATCCGCCCTGGTTCTTCTGGAGTAGTAAATCGTAGCACTTGTAGCCTGAAGCTTGCATTTCTGCCCAGTCCCTGTAAGTCCCAAGGACGCATTCTAGATCGTCCACTGATGACTGCCATTCAACGGGTTCCACCACCTATTTGAATTTGTGGCAGAATGACAGGCCGACATTGGATTATCTTTGTATCTACTCCGTACTCAAGAATGAAGCGCAGCAGTTAACGATCTTGACCAGGGCAATCATCAAAGCATGACAATCACCAGCCTTTCCTGCTCTTTCCTACGAACCTTTCATAACCCCAGCTTCTCGCCAGGCCATTGTCCGCTACCATGTTGACATGCTGCATCGAACCGTAACGCTACCGGAAAGTGGTGTGAGCTTGCAGCTCATATTTGACCGCCACCACCCGTCTTTGTGTAAAAGCATTGTGTTCGCCACGTCTTGCATTCGGAGACTATACCACAATCTTTTCACATAGGAACGCTGTCTCCGGCCTTCCTAGCGACGAGTTCCAGGTACTCTGCGCGAGGGTACAGAGTAGTAGTACTACGGTGGTTGATGCCATGTCTCGAAACCGCAAAGATCACATTAACACATTCCATAGTAACCTATGGATGGCTTCGAGAAGAAGCCCATGAAGAAGCCCATGAAGAAGCCCATGAAGAAGCTCACGAAGAAGCCAAGCATACCCTGACACCCTAGGAAACATAAGACACACACCACAGTGAAAAGGCGAATCCCCATCTATCGCCACAGAACAATCCTACTCCAGGATTGACCGAGTGAAGTCCGATTATGGATCCACATAGTTGCAGAAGCCCTCACCACTATCCACTATCACAGGAACTAAAACAGAGCCAGCCAGTATGCATCTACAGATTACGTGAGCACTCAAGTTTTGCATAGCGCGACAAGGGTCGACGGATAGAAGGAAGTCCAAAGTGAACCTCGGGTGAACTCTACTCTGGCGAAGAGGTTCCTCCAGCCATCGTCTCTGTTGCAGAATTCTCGACCCAGCGCACTGATCCACAACCTGTAGAAAGCCACGAGTAGTGAGCGTTACACAAGTAGCACACACACGGTCCGTAGTAGGCGCGCTCTTCACCCGCAGGGCGCGCATGTCTATCACCCAGAGGGTCCAAATATAGCAACATTCACGCATGCGTGCCGGCCAGTAGCGTGTTCCACGCCCTATGCAAGTTTTGTTTTTTTTTTTTCCCCCATGCCCATCTTGCGACAGTGACACAAGCACGAACACACCACTACGGCTTCAGATCGAGTCGAGAGGGCAGCGCCAAGGGGATCAAATTCGACCATCACGACGCAAATCTTCATTTGAAAGTGAAATGACCATCCCGCATAAGGAACCACGGTTCTAAGTATAGGTACTGCTCGTTGAACCTACATCGGATGGCTCAATTCTACAGTGACAATCACTCTGTTTCCGCCCCCGAGCCAAGAGCCCTCCCCGTCGTGAAGGACCCTTAAGTTGGCATCCATGCAGGACGTGGCATGCGGTCTCCGCGGACAGAAGTCAAGAACGTATCAACGGGGAGGGATTTTATCCGAACCTGTACCCACCCCCACCTACCAGGGACCAGAGATCTACTTGGTCTATCTGAAACTTCGCGAGATGAAACTGATCTAGGTATGGTATACAACGGAAGGTCCCGCCCGCACGGAGGGCGCAGGGTCGAACTCCGGGAAAAGAAGGGAGAAAGGACTCCATTGTAGATCAGAGTCAGAATATACTATATCCATTGGGGAGTGAGTGACGATGGATGACTTACATTAGGGATCGTAGTTGGCTCTGGGTTCGGAGCTAATAATGGAAAATTAGGGTACGGCGGCTTGGCATGGGCGAACGAAAAGGGTTGGTGCTGTCGGGGCGGGGCCAATCAGATCATACGACAGGGCAAAATGAGGTTCGTCGTGAATACAGCTGTATTGGGTATGGCGCGGATACTTCTGGCCAGGTCGAAGTCATGATAAGATTGGTGGAGAGAAGGCAGATGAGATGTACCCAGCTTTTGGTACGACTAGCTTGCTGGCCTAAGGCCCAATCTGGTTCCATCTGTCGGGTAAGGTGACCTTTCGTTTCCTGGGGCAAAAGTCGTGCCGTCCAGACTAGCCCTTTTGCTATTTTTGTCACCCCTTCGCATACAGATAGGGTTCTGCGTTTACCTTGGTTTCTCTGGGGATGAGGTCATGCTTCATTATTATTAATCAACTTTGAACCTTTGTCGGCTCGATAGCTGAGGTATGGTGATCAGGACGACGGGACGTTATAGGTCGACACCAATGTCGAGGTGCCCGGTGATATCAAGACCCAGACTCGGGTTTCAGCACGCTTACCTCATCGAACAACAACCGGACGGCGCTATGATAGGATAGGAATGGTTACTCAGGGAGGGATGACTCAATGTTCAAATCAGGTTCTTGCACGCCTGATTCATAAGCCGACAGACGAGAGACTAGGTGTTATTCTGCAATTGACAACTAGTCCAGAAGTTGGTAGTTTAAGCGTTGGCTTGACGTCGTCTGGGTGGGGCCGATATGTACTCCATACATGGAGTGGTATTGATATATCGACCATTGTCACAGTGACAGTGCAGGACGACATCTGGGATGCGTGACGGTTACCAGGATAGGCTGTATGTACGTTGGGTCTTCTGGGGCATGTACAGTACCAATGTCTCGATGCTTGACACATCCCCACCGTAGCTCGAGGGACAACCCACCCAGTTTGACTCTGTTGACATTTGATTGATTCATTGACAGGCAGATCAGCAGGAGAATTTAACTTTCGTCGCATTTTGCTTCTCTATTAAGTATACAGGTGTTCGAGATAGGGTTTCTGACATGGCGAAGCGAGAGCGAAAACTCAATAGAAAAAAGGTACATTGATCGTTCCATCGATGAAAAGGCCGCTGCCAGTGGCTGGCTAGGATGAGTCCACATGGCGTGGAAGATGCCTGTGTAAGGTGAGTCACCACATGTCAGAGCTTTCTTGGGAGCTTGACAGCCTGATAGGCAAACATGAGCATGACCTATCTCCCAGGCATCAAAGTTGGTCTACTATGATGGCCTCATCCGATCAATAGTTGGGGAGGATTGACCAAAACGAATAAAGTTACGCCGAAGCTAAACAAAGTTGACCAACCCTAACGCTTTTCTGGATTAAAAAGCGGTGACTTGGGTCTGGAACACACCTAACCTCATTAGGTGGCATCTCGCGACGGGGCACTTGGCAACCAAAACAAACCTGTCAGGGGGGACGGCGTGACTTCCCATTTGCCAATCACGAGACTGGACCATCCTGGAGCAGTCTATCGAATGCGGAGAATGGCTCGGGACTTGCCATTGGCCATTCCCCATCTGACGGGTCGGTATTGTCCGTTTCTTACGGGATTTGGTTTAGCGACACTTGGGGAAGGTCAGTTTAGCCCGTTTCCAATTCTCTCTCTCTCTCGCCTTGTCCTCCCTGGTCTCTTTCTATCTATCGAATTCGGGCCAGATAAAGGCCATGAAATTGTGGATAGTCGCGTCTCGCTGCACACGTCCTTGGCAACCTTGACCGAAATTGGGGTGGTGGCTCTGGTTGAAAAAGCCGTTAGGGCGCGGTCAATTCCTTCCGCCTATGGGATGGCAACCATGAATGCGCAAATGGGCTTGACTCCAGCTGTCCGGACAAATAGGATATGTCCTATATTGCCAAGACCTCAAAGCCCTAGCCATGATTGACAGGGATCAAGCATCCATTTGCCTCTCTCCTCGAGTAATTTTTCTTCTTCAAGGGAAACAAAAAAATAAAATTCTAAACAAAAAATAAAAAAAATAAAAAATAAAAATAAAAACGTGGCATGAGGCTTTTGTGCTACACTTGCAATGCATGCACATTCCTCGATTGATGCAGGTCGAGAGCCTAGGAATGCCGTCATCCTCAGCAATTGCTGAGGGCTTTCGAGAGGACATTGTCCCATGGGTCAAGAATTAAAGTATCCCCTACCTGGACCCGAAACCACCAATGAGCAGCCAGGATTTACTGATCGCTGATTCTTAATCTCGGCCGCCCGCGACCATGGACCCGGACCGCAGTCTCCGAAGGGTTTTTTACCCTATGGGTTCGAAGCCTTGATTAGCCTCGACCCTTTAGCGTTCTAGGGCATTTACCTTATCTGGAAATATTCCTTCAGGGCCCTCTGTTGAATCCAATCAGATGGGGACCGAAAAAAGAGTTTCACAACGATTCGCGCTTAGCTCTTAATTTACTTCCAAGGTGGTGTCGCGTTAGCATTTGATGGCTTTTCCGCTAAGCCCACCCCCTATCTTTTATGATTTATTATATTTCTCTGTGATAAGATGGGAGCTCCTTACCGGTTTCCTGATATGTTTAAAATTAGCGAATTGATGTGGATCTGACTAACGAGGTCTGTTTCATCTGGGAATGCGTAACACACGAGTTAGCCCTCCCTTCAAGGCTGAAACTGTGCTACTTCTTCCCTCCCCTTATCAACCAGACCATCACAAGTTATTCAGGACTGGCCATGCGCTTCCACGGTAGCACCATCCGAGGGAACTCAAACCCGCCATCCCGGGACAGCGGGCAAGGTCATCTTCACACTGTCGTAGGGCTCACTGCCCCACTAGTCGCCCGTGGCTCAGCCGCAAGCATTACTAGTTTAGGCACTCTTGGTTGCAGGAGGTTACCGGATTTGTCGA